CATACTGACTTTACAGTGTAATAATTCATGTATTACTATCGGTCGCGCTCGGGAAATACAAGAATTCTGACACTCGTTTCGTAAAATCAGTACGAACACTTGTTGGTATAATAATCTCTATGTATCGCCACATTCTGCTGAACACGCTGATCTAGGCGCCGGTCCCCGGAACAAGTGCAGCGATACCCAATATGTCACTCTCATCACTGTGGCGATATTTTTCATGTGATCTATTTAAATCAAAGGAAGGAATTCGTGGCGTTTGAATAAATACATTTGGAGTCTTTAATAAGTACAGTAAACTACGGTTATAACGAACTCAAAGGGACCACTAATTTTAGTTCGTTATAACCGTAGTTCGTTATAAACATATATACAGCATGACGACAGCAAATAGTCGGGACAAAAAAGTAGGTTCGTTATATCCGTCAGTTCGTTATAACCGTGTTCGTTATAAACGGGGGGGTTCATTGGCATCAAGTTGGGGACAAGTGATACTTGTACACATATTTGCCCCCCCCCCCCCCCCCCCCCCCGTCAACAAAATTAACTACGGCCTTGTCTTTAGTAAGTGGACTCTTGCACAACATGCATGGTGTCTTTATGAAGTAAACACCCTCTGCAAAACACATTTCATGAAATCACAAAAATAAAAACACTTTGATTTTCTTGAGAGTGCACGCATTGTCCATTCACTAAAACCATAAGCTCCCACGGAAACTACACATAGCACTGTGAGCACGACGTATCATTACATCGCACATTGTAGCTAACATTGCTTGGTATTTGCTTCAGAATGTAACCCAGAGCTTAACCAAGAATGCTGATGACACCACTATAGTCAAGTATATTTCTTGAAAGACGACATGACCGCTCAGGCTTCTTGCGGCCATTTCAACTTTTCTTTTAAGTCATTTCTGTGATCGCTTGTGAACACACCGTAGACCCGTCAGTATTTGCTTCCGTAGAGTAATCTCCCTTTGTACCACAGAGGGCGCGGCTACTCAACACGCCTTTTTAAATGTTTCGACTTGTCGGGACAATATGTCTGTTTTTTTTGTAGGAAAAAAAGGTTTTACTCAAACTATGATGACAACTGCACTATAATGGTGCATTACCTAAGGATTGAAGTTGTATTTGTAGACAGTGCCTCACGTGAGCAAATTCCATGATGCGCGAAGCGCTTCATGGTATATTTGCTCACATGAGGTATTGTCTTCATCAGCTGATGAACGTCAACAAATACAAGTTTAATCCTTATATTGACAGATACATAAATCATAACAAAACAATCCATTAAACATCAAACTTTAATTATTGAAAGCGAACTATATCAACGCGGGGAGTAGTGACGTCATCCGTCCCAAACATTCCATTTGGAGTGACATCCCTTGGTTTTACAAACGGCAGAAAATGGCGGCTACCGCAATGTCATTTGCTTGAAATACAACTTGCACCCAGTAAAATAGCGTTGGAATTGGAAAGAAATCCAGACCGCCTCATGCTGAAAATGGATACATATTAACGTTCTGTGAACTTTTGGTGTGTGTTTGGGTCATACTACGGCTGCTGATGACGGAGATTACCGCATGATGCGGCACAGTTGGATTTCCCGAGGCACGATAGTGTGGAGCCCGGTGACTTCTTTCGGTAAGTCGAGCATTCTCTGTTACAGCTTCGAATGGACGCTTCATTTCGGTGACCCGACATATATATGATCTGTCTGACTTCAAAGCCTGCATCATTCATAGCCTAAATCGATGTCGCTCTCAGTTTTCCCTAAGTATTTTTAATATTATTAACATTGAGGAATTCCCCTAAAGTAGTTCTGTAGGTCTCCGCGCGAGTGACAACGTAATCACGTGACATACTGACGTTCATCGGGAAATGAACGACAGTCAGCTTGGTAGTGTTCACCTGGGCAAAGTTACCCGCTACTGTCAATATTGAAACATATCACTGAGAAAGCAAATTAGCAAATTAGCAGAAGCTGAATTGTCTCTCGTTTTGAAGCTTAATCCACCTTTTACCATCTCGTCTGCCCAACGATGCCCCCAGCGCTTTATCTCTCAGGCCGGGGACCTCGTCGTTTGAGGTACAAACAGAGATGGCATGGCGAGGAAGACAGAGGATTAGCTTTTACAGCTTTCATGATAAGGATGAGAATGTATGGATGTCAACTTCTTTATTATGAGGAACACAACGTTTCGGAGTACATGCTTACTCCTTCATCAGGTGAAGGAATGCCATCGGGCAGAGAGCATGTATGTACACGTAAGAACAACAAAAGTAATAAGATAACAAAAGGGGGAAATTTAACAAGGGAAGCCAACAGATAATTGACGCTGATAGGTGATTAGCAATAGACAATGGAAGCCAACACTTAACAGTAATTAGCGCTGATAGTTATGGACAACTGGAAGCCAGGACTAAATTATCACTGATTGGTAATTGTCAATGGAACAGTGGGCTAACGGGAGGCCGGGGGTAATTAGCACTGATAGGTTAACGGGAGGCCGGGGGTAATTAGCACTGATAGGTAAACGGGAGGCCGGGGTAATTAGCACTGATAGGTTAACGGGAGGCCGGGGTAATTAGCACTGATAGGTTAACGGGAGGCCGGGGTAATTAGCACTGATAGGTTAACGGGAGGCCGGGGTAATTAGCACTGATAGGTTAACGGGAGGCCGGGGGTAATTAGCACTGATAGGTTAACGGGAGGCCGGGGGTAAATAGCACTGATAGGTAAACGGGAGGCCGGGGTAATTAGCACTGATAGGTTAACGGGAGGCCGGGGTAATTAGCACTGATAGGTTAACGGGAGGCCGGGGGTAATTAGCACTGATAGGTTAACAGGAGGCCGGGGTAATTAGCACTGATAGGTTAACGGGAGGCCGGGGGTAATTAGCACTGATAGGTAAACGGGAGGCCGGGGTATTTAGCACTGATAGGTTAACGGGAGGCCGGGGGTATTTAGCACTGATAGGTTAACGGGAGGCCGGGGGTAATTAGCACTGATAGGTTAACGGGAGGCCGGGGGTAATTAGCACTGATAGGTTAACGGGAGGCCGGGGGTAATTAGCACTGATAGGTAAACGGGAGGCCGGGGGTATTTAGCACTGATAGGTTAACGGGAGGCCGGGGGTAATTAGCACTGATAGGTTAACGGGAGGCCGGGGTAGTTAGCACTGATAGGTTAACGGGAGGCTGGGGGTATTTAGCACTGATAGGTTAACGGGAGGCCGGGGGTAATTAGCACTGATAGACAAACGGGAGGCCGGGGGTAATTAGCACTGATAGGCTAACGGGAGGCTGGGGGTAAATAGCACTGATAGGTTAACGGGAGGCCGGGGTAATTAGCACTGATAGGCTAACGGGAGGCCGGGGGTAATTAGCACTGATAGGTTAACTGGAGGCCGGGGTAATTAGCACTGATAGGCTAACGGGAGGCCGGGGGTAATTAGCACTGATAGGTTAACGGGAGGCCGGGGTAATTAGCACTGATAGGTTAACGGGAGGCCGGGGGTAATTAGCACTGATAGGTTAACGGGAGGCCGGGGGTAAATAGCACTGATAGGTTAACGGGAGGCCGGGGTATTTAGCACTGATAGGTTAACGGGAGGCCGGGGGTATTTAGCACTGATAGGTAAACGGGAGGCCGGGGGTAAATAGCACTGATAGGTTAACGGGAGGCCGGGGTATTTAGCACTGATAGGTTAACGGGAGGCCGGGGTAATAAGCACTGATAGGTAAACGGGAGGCTGGGGGTAATTAGCACTGATAGGTAAACGGGAGGCCGGGGGTAATTAGCACTGATAGGTTAACGGGAGGCCGGGGGTAATTAGCACTGATAGGTTAACGGGAGGCCGGGGGTATTTAGCATTGATAGGTTAACGGGAGGCCGGGGGTAATTAGCACTGATAGGTTAACGGGAGGCCGGGGGTAATTAGCACTGATAGGTTAACGGGAGGCCGGGGGCATTTAGCACTGATAGGTAATGGAATAGAAATAGCAATGGGCTCCGAAACGTTGTGTTCCTCATAATGAAGAAGTTGACATCCATAATTTCTCTTCCTTATGTGTATCACTTCTAAATGCCTTTCAAGGACTTCAGCTTTCATGATTATCTCAATATAGTTACAAAGATTCTTCTGGACAGATATTTTTTAAGAGTTAAACAATTCTATGACATTTAGCATACTCGTTCCTTCATTTTGACATGGGATATACAATTTACGAGCATAATTTACAATACGACCACTTAATAGGGTGGTATTCCATCTTCCCGTTTCAATTGGCAAGCAGTAGCAGCATTTTCGAGCGAAGATTATTTAAGCGCTATACGGAAAGAGGGTATTTAATAAATGGGATTCAAGCTTTTTGTCCAAGCTTGAATCATGCATGGGTATGCTGTGCTGGCGCTATAGTGGCAGCGCAGCATATCCAGGAAACCAGGCTGGGGACTTCGATCGTGGCAAAGAATAACGCATTTATTCTTTGATCACGTTGGCACCATCAGCAGACTGATCTGCTATAATATGTTTTTTTCCGCATCATCAAGAAGAATATCTTCATAATTCATAAAAAATTTAGTAATAATTTCATTATCAGATCACAGTTAATTTTGCCTTCGAGTATTGTCTGAAATGCCAAATTGTATTGCCACCATTAGAACCACATATTTAAGCTGAAGACAGAGTCGTCAGTGCTGCCAACGTGATAAAGTATTGCGTCTGTACCGAGACACGCCCCATTTAAATAAAGTCGGTATACCCATGAGTTAAAGTATGCTTGTCGTAAGAGGCGACTAACGGGATTGATGGTCAGGCTCGCTGACTTGGTTGATCGGTGCGCATGATGTCAATCACGGGAGTGTCTGGTCCAGACTTGATTATTTACAGCCCGCCATCATATAGCTTGAATATTGCTGAGTGCGGCGTTAAATAACAAACAAACAAACAAACAAACAAAAGTACAATGATAACCTGAGGACCACTGACCTGAGAGCGCGGTGGCCAAGAGAGCGAGGAGCCACGACATGTTTACTCCGTGTGTCCCGGCGTTCTGGCTGTCTGGGGGAACAGTTCCCCCTTTTACCTACACGGAAGAACGCTGGCGGTAATCCCCACAAAGGTCCAAGCAAATAGCTGGAGCGAGGGCGGGAGGTGGTGGGCGGGGCACCCGAGCGTGTTCCTCCTCCCGGCGACAGTTGTGTCTACAACAGGCTTCTTAGTACGTCAAACATGCTTTTTTAACTTTAATGGTTTCCTAGATAGGCCGAACATGTACAGATGGAATTTGAGAGTGTTGAATAAATGAACTATTAATTTTGAAGGGAATCAACATTTTCGAAAAATGCCATAACGTTCAAGAATGTTGCAGTAATCTTGTCATAGCTTGCCTTGTGTGGTGTTAGTTGGAGCATGTTTGATGAAACTACTGACTGACGGACTGAGGGACTGACTGACTGACTGACTCACTGACTCACTGACTCACTCACTCATTCACTCACTCACTGACTCACTCACTCATTCAGTGTATGATGCATTTGCATAATAAAGCGTGTGCGCGCTTCATAAAGAATATACTGTTATCTCTGTACAGGTGTACATGCAATGCACTTTTAAATCGCCTGCTATCTGACCAACTGTGCGGACAATAGCCCTAAGAGAATCAATATGGCCTTTGAAAATACAAAACAAAACGTAAATGCCGAATACGAGGGCTGGTCAAAAAGTTCTAAGCCTGACTAACTTTTAACATTGGCCATAACAAAGTGAACGAGTCAATGTAGTACATTGTTTGATTAGTTCATTGCAAGTCTATTTGCTCTATTGAGGCCGTTTGTATATTAGTGACAGCCAGTTGAACGTGATAGGGGTCGATATAGACACAGAACGAGTCATCATTCTTTTTTACTTTAGAGAAAAGTATTCATGACCGCATGTGACAGGTGTATGGGGATAAGTGCCCTAGCTATTCCACTAGGTGAGGTGAATGGGGTTTAACGTCGCGTCCAAGATTATTGCACTTATATAGCGACGTGCATGTACGTGTGTGTGTGTGTGTGTGGCTGCTTGTACTAGTCCGATTTAAAGTGCTAGCTCACTGAGATACCATGCCGTAGTTTAACATGAATACCCCACTCAGACACAGAATACTGACTCCGAGCCGACCAGTCTTTGTTATAGCCCCTTAATGCCGAGCGCCAGACAGGGCAACAACAAGTACCATCTTTTAACGTCTTTTGGTATGACGCGGTCGGGGATCGAACCCCGGACCTTCCGCTCTCCGGGCGGACGCTCTACCACTAGACCACGGAGGCGGTCAAACTATTCCACTATTAAACGTTGGACAGCCATGTGTAAGGCTGGGAGAACAAGCCTTGATGAAGGGCGTCCCTCATCTTCCATTAATGAAGATTCAATGAACTTGAGGAAGACACGGGTCTAAGCCATGAATCCATTGAAAATATTATTCATGAACATTTACAGATGAATAAGATATCTGCTCTTTGGGTGCCAAAGTTTCTAAATTCTGTTTTAAGGAAAAAAAGAACTGACGTTGCCAGAGTAAATTTAGAGCTAATTGAGGAGGATTTCGTCAAATTCTAAAACAGATTAGTGATGGGTGATGAAACATAGGTCTACCACTATGGTCCCGAGTCATATCGTCAATCCATGAAATGGCAACATTCCACTTCCCCGGCACCAAAGAAATTCAAGTCTTCAAGATCTGTGAAGAAAGTTGTGACAATTGTATTCTTGGATGCAAAGGGTGTGATCCTTATTGATTACCAAGAAAGTCAAAAGGCGATTACCGGTGCCTACTATGCTGATTAACTTCATCGCCTGAGACATGCTGACTGCTGGAGTTCTACTATTTCATGACAATGCCTCTTCTCACAACTCTCAACTTGCAAAGACTGCTGTGCTATAATGTGGGTTCGAAGGGCTTCCTCACCCTGCATACTCGCCAGACCTGGCACCAAGTATTTCCACCTGTTTCCTAAACACCTTTGTGGAAAGCGTTACTACGACAACGATTACCTCAATGGGGTTTTCGGGGTGGCTTCAGAAAACTTCTTCCTGACTGGAATTGAAAAGCTTCTCTATCGATATGAGAAGTGTACTGAAAAACAGGGAGATTATGTCGAAAAAAATAATTGGTTTTGTTTGCTAGGCTTAGAACTATTTGACCAGCCCTCGTATTGACCTACTGTTCTTTATTTAAATTGACCAGACGAGTAAATGTGATTATAAAATACCCGCATGGAAAATCCCACTCAAGGGTGCAGGGTATAGATAGATCGGGTATGGGGTATAGACGCTCTATCCAAATGACCACGGAGGCGATCTGTAAAAATCAGGCGCCGTGGACCGCGTGAACCCTGAACTCTGAACCCTGGTCCCTGAACCCATCAAGGGAAGCGGGGAGTGAAACTGGAGGGGGAAGTGAGAGAAACAATTAAAGAGAAGGAAATATCACGGTGACGGAATTTACTGTTACAGGGGAGAAGCACGTACAATGATCTTCCTCTTCGCAAGTTAAATATCTTCTTTCAGTTTAGTTATTTCCACCAAGTTGAAGAAATGATGCGTGGAAAAAGTGTTTTTATAGAGATTCAAGCGAAATCCCCTCATTATTAAACCGACTCAATCGACATTTTAGTGGTACGTAATTTGGACATAATATTACCTCCCTTGTATATGTTTTGCAGAAGTTACTTCCCTTGAATTTAATTAGCGCTGCATAATCAGTCATGAACGCTGAGTTTTATCAAAGTGCATCAATCTTAGAGGTGCACAACGCAAGGATAAACATAGTAGGTGTTCCGTTCACCACCGCGAAGGTTTGATCAGAAATGTGGACATGTTCTTTGGTGAGTATTTCATCGATGAAATTGAATCCTGTTAGTCGAGAACCCCAGTTTTCGTGCACGAAATTGATTATGATATTAGCATTTCAACGTTATGCTTTAAGTCTTTCATAGTCATGCTTGTTTGCTTTTCGGATGTTTAAGAATCATGTCGTACATCGAGGCCTAATGTATGATAATTCTTAGCTTTTTGTTTGAAAAAACTTATCTGATGTAAACCCCGTCGTTGGTCTATGATTCTGAAGCAGTTACTGAGTAAGCATGGCGAGGGTTCACAGTTGACAATGCCGCAGTTATGTAATGTATGGCAACACAACGTGCTAGATGATACATGTATACCTTTTAAAGATGGCTGTCCATTGTCAGGGTCTAGATTCAGTCAGTTTCTAGCAGACATTGTCAGTGTAATTATACTACACTGGCATCACTGACAAAACATAGCCTCATCCCATTTCTGCTCCGTTTCTGCTCCGTTTCAGCTTCGTTCACTGTTTGTGTCGCAGGAAATAAACAAGTATGAAGCCGATATTTTACCTAACTTGGACTTGATGACAATCAGCATCAATAGAAATTGGGGCTAGTCCTATATTCCTTGCCACATTGCCCAATAGTAAAGGTATCGTAAGGACGAGTAGACACTGGCCTGATTTAAGGGTTTTGCTACCTTGTGTTTTCATCATAAGGACTAGTGGACTAAAAATATGAGTTTTTATCGCTGCAATGATTTGTAAATTCCTGCAGTACAAAATACTTAAAATTACAAAATAAACACAGAATTTTTTATCCAAGTTATTGACTCATTAATTAAGTTAGAACAGAGAAACAATGGATTATTTGGATATGTTAAAAAAATACACCTTCCATCAATTGGTCATGCAGGTTGGTTGGTTTGTTGTTTAACGCCGCACTCAGCAATATTTCAGCTATATGACGGCGGTCTGTAAAATAATCGAGTCTGGACCTGACAATCCAGTGATTGACATCATGAGCATCGATCCACACAATTGGGACCGATGACATGCATCAACCAAGTCAGCAAGCCTGACCACCCGGTCCCGTTAGTCGCCTTTTACGACAAGCATAGTCGCCTTTTACGGCAAGCATGGGTTGCTGAAGACCTATTCTACCCCGGATCTTCACGGGTCGGTCATGCAGGTACTTGCTGAAGCAATGTGCTACTCATGAAAGCAAGGCTTGGCAGCGAACGTGTCACATACACATGGGAAGGTATTCTTGTATATTTTAATGTTTTAAAAGTTGAATTTTACTCGCTGAAATACATGTACACAGAATGTTCTGCTCTGGTGACCACACTGTGGGTGTAGACTTATCACATGACCCAACTTTTCTCTTGTTTGCAAACAAACACACTTATTCTGACATATGAACAGACAGGCAAGCCTTTCTGCGCTCTATACACAGAGCTCCAGATAAGCTGCGTATCTGCGTAAAATATGCATCAGAAATGCAGAAATATGCAGTAAAATAAAATCCAAGCATATCAAATACGCAACTAACATTACAGATACGCTACAAAAATAAAACTTGTGCGTATCATCCAAATATTGTGAAGTAACCCTGTGTATTCGAGTAGCAAATCAGCAACTTATTTTGAAATTATTAACGGGCATTCCGTCAACCTTGCGAAACTCCACGATGACAGTTACATCATGATCATTTGCCATCACACTTTCTTGTGGAAGTATCGTGGTATTTTTGAGTCCCATAAAGCTCTCGAACCCACACGACACCAGTTTGCAGGGACTAGATGAATAGTCTTTTTAAATATTTAACTTAGATACCCACATGTGTAAAAACTAGTGGGTAACAGAAATTTGAAAACCCAGATAAAATTACTGATACCCAATGATTTTAAAGTGCATGGGTAAAATACCCACAACACCAAAAGCTTATGTGGAGCTCTGATACACCAATAATGATATAGGCCAATGATAGGCACACTACTACAACTGCGACAGAGGTGCATGACAATGTCGCTTGACACATCAAAGTGATCGTACTGTTAACTCACCACAGGGCTTCCATGACACCATGTGGAGGATAACAACCAAATGGAAATAGCGTGTCAGGTTTTAAGGTATTTTCTCAACTAAAAGTTAAGTTTAAATACCGTATTCGACGTAATAAGCGCCCCGCTTTAATAAGCGCCGACGGCGGTATTTGCTAATATATTGGCTAGTGAACAATCCCAATTAGTCACCCCTTCCGATTGATCAATGTTCACAAGACTTATTAATTCGTACAGTACGCACTCGTGTGTTATATGCACCCTTCATTATGGGCAATTAAATTCTAGAAAAATATATCTGTCATACATAAACATTTCAGGCTGTCAGCATAAACCACGAAATGTATCTTTCAACTCTGTTTTTTTCACCAAAATAATATTCTTATAAGAGCCCCCTATTTCTAATTTTGAGAGTGCCCTCGGTGCTTATTACGTTGATTATGGTAAATGTGTTAACTGGTCAGAAATGAAACATGAAAATGAATGTGTAAATTGTGATGTGGTGACAGAGGTACTCGGTTGCCACAAGGAACTAGCCTACAAGGTAGGAGAGTGATTGACTTTACACAAATCCAATAATATTTATTTTGAGGCTTTGTTAAAGAGTGGCTTCTAATGTAGTCACGCTGGCAGTTAGTATTTTGTAACTCATTGGTAAGAAAAACACGAGCTTTCTCTTCAATTTGCAATGTTGTTTTGCATGTTTTGAGTTCTTGCCTCTTTGAAATATTTGTGACACTGCAGCTTAATACCATATTCACCCTCTGTCCCATCCTGGATGTTGCAGGGATCAGTGTGACCACACAGTAGAGATGTTCTCGTCAAACCACCAGCACAGTTCTAAGGCCAAGTCTAGTGGCCCCAATCACTCCCTCTGTCAAGGTGGGGCACGGCCCAAGGTCACAAGCCAAGGAAAGCAGGTCTCAGACAAGGGCCACTGCAACAGCAAGATCAAGGGTCCTCAAGGAAAACTGGTGTCAGATAACTTTCAGTGCAATGGCAATGGTCCTCAAGGAAAGCAGGTCTCAGACTGCAACAGCAAGGACTGGAAGAAGGAGAGCCGAGAGGATAGATCTTGTGAAAGACTGAACAGTCTCAGCGAGGAACAGATTGAGAAGTTCTTCTCGTGTCCATACACTAGTGTTGAACAGGAAGAAGCAGGTGCCCACAGACAGAAGGACGGAGTGCAGGACACAAGCTTGTGGGCGGATGAAGGCGACCAGGTGTATGATGGCAGGTGTGATGGCCGACCTCACTGCGAAGCCAGTGGTGGTCACTGTAGGAAACAGGTGAAGTGTAGTCGACAGGAGTCTTCTTTCGCCTTTCCTCTTCTCCACTGGGCGTTTGGAAACCGGCCTTACTCTACACGTGGACGCCTCTACAACAGCCTGTTCGAGCCTTTCAATAGGAGCAGTAGGAATGTGTGTCACTGCAGCGAGTGTGTGAAGGACCGTGTGTGCCGGTCAGCCAGTGTCCAGGGGGTCAGTGCCAGGCCCCCGAAACGCAGCATCAGTAAGTCTCAGAGCTTGATGCTGAATCGGGCATCTGTGAATGACATGAAAGCTCCCACCCAGCAGGTGAACCACATCTCCTTGTATGACGAGAAGGATGAGCGGCTGGCGCTGGAGAGATGGCGGAACGCAGGCTTGGCTCTGAGACGGGTCCTCAACAGCAAGGTGGCCTCGAAACACCGGAGTGGCGACCTCAATGGCGACCTCCATGGCTCTGGGGACGGTCTGTCCACAACAAGCAGCCGGGAGAGGTTGGCTCAGCAGTGTCAGAATGTCGTTGATGAGATATTTGATGATGTTGATGAAGAAGACACTTTGAAGAACGTGGGATCATCCTCAACCTGCTCAACCAGTGAGTCTCCAGAAGTGTTCTCCTTGTTGTCTGACCAAACTGACCAGCCAGGGGACCAGTCAAAGCCGGCCTCCTTCCAGACCCAGGTTGTCAGTGCTGTCGACAGGCCGGGTATATGGGACAGTCAGCTGTATTCCACAGATATATCGAGCCAGTTCGATCTGTCCCCAGATCTGGACGACTCCCAACCTGATAGTCAGGAAAAGGGAGGCGAGGAAAGCTTCCTGTTTCCATGGAAACGGCATGCAACGTTTCTGGGCGCGTGTCTGTTTCCGCAATGTATGAGCATGATAGGACTGCGTCCGTACACAAGTGCAATAAACCGCAGTGGGACAGAGTGCAATGAATCAACCCCGGAGTGCAATATGAACTCATCGAAGCAAGGCTGTGATAACTCCGCTGTCAGAGCGGGTGGTGCAATGTTGACTGTAGGAGACACACCGAGACCACACAGTGGACATGCATATAAAGATAACTGTGATATGGGGAAGAGTTGGGTTCGAACCGATGCTGCCGGCAACCATGGCCGGCAGAATGCGAACCGGCTTAGTTCAAACAATGATGGAGAACATTTTGTGGTTGAGAAACCGCTTTCATCGGATTCCCATGGCGAGGTGGACAGACTGGGCTGTGTCCGTCTGTCCAGCAGTCAGTGCACATCCAGTTTCCATAGTGAGGACGGGTATGCCACTAAAAGTAGTGGTTACCATGGTGACAAGGGAGGCGACTCTGACTTGACAGACAACAGTTCCATGTGTGGTGATAGTGGGGAGATCTATTTCTATGAGGACAATGACAAGTTTGATACTGTGCCACGGAGGAAAAAGTCGAAAGAGAAAGCTGCAAACCCCCCCAAGAAGACTCTGCAGCGGGAAAAGAAGAAGAAGCTCGTCCATGCCCGGAAGACACACAAGAGGAAAAGTAGCTCCAGCTCCAGTGACATCGTTCAAGAAGAGGGTTGTCATGGGAATGATGATGATGGCGAAGACATAAAGGGTTTGTAAAGTTTACCTACAAAGTAAATGATTCTTGTTTGGGTTAAATTTATATAAATTTTCTAATCTCAACATGCTCAAGTTGATGAAGTTTATAATGCATACTGGCTTTCAATGATTTGAACCAACTACGAGGTGAAGCAAACATTCCTTAAATAAGACAATGGCAGAAAGTCAATCTCATTAAAGGGAGCACGGGTGGCCCAGTCGTCTAAGGCGCCACGATTCGCTGTGCAGAGTTGCGTCCCTTGGGCACGCCAGAAACCTATGATTGTGGGTTCGAATCCCGGTTCACCCCAATTATGTTTCTAGGTTTGTCAGCACCATACCCGTACTTGTGGGTTTCACCAAAGTGGTAAACGTCTGAGACCTGCATCACTTCGGGCTTTCCTCCCTCATTAAGCTGACACGCTGTGATATAACTGGAATACTGTTAAAAGCGGCGTTAAACCCAACTTACTCACTACTCAAGTCAGAACAGTCTTTCATACAACCAATCAACATCACTTGCAGTGTATAGCGAATATGAATGTCCGAATGGAATGTTTTCATGCAACATGGAAAAGGTTATCACTAGCTATTCTGAACATAACATATGTTTCCAACATTTGAAACAGAAGGGTTTTTTCCATTGCCCTTGAGAACTGTTGCTGTACAATACAGGCCTTTCTTTTAGACTACGAATTGTCTTTTTTTCAGTTTTCAAGTTTTGAATCGAGAACTTTGTCACAATATTTTTCAAGGCATAATTTGAATAGAAGTCATCATTTTAAAACTAGTGCGGTAAAGGTTGAGAAAGCTGCTTCCTGATTAGCTAATGTGACTTCCTGTTCGTTATTTCATTCGTCGGTTAAAGTTTTGCCAAAAGTCGTTCAGATGTGACCCGTAATGGGATGTCAATTGAAAGCAGCTGACCTGCCAGGGTTGTTGACCTCTTTGTGTTGAGCATGTTTGTCATCAAACTGTGTGTCTACAGCCTGAGTCAGAGATGTAATGTGATCAAGGCACCACAACCCACAAACCCCACCCCTCCCACAACTTTAGTCTGTAATACTTTAGCGTTCTCAGAAGGGCTGACTATTGACTATCAATAATCACAAACTAAATATCGATCAATTATTGGAAAAGTAACTTTATGCAAATATGCAAGAAAATCCTGAAATAAATCAACATATTTCACACCATGGGTGAGCAGTGATACATTTATGCATGGATTACTTTGTTGACGTCTGAGATCTGACATAAAACAGTTGCTTTTTAACTTCGACAATTGACATGACTCACAATAACAAGTCTATTTCTGTAAGTCTAAAATTTATTTCATCACAAAAATGTATGTAACCTATTATCGATCACAACTGTTTCATATCGATAATCATTAATATTTCTTCCCCTTTATGATAATTCCGATTATTAATCGTTTTAGCCAGCCCTAGTTATCAGTTTCCTATGTAATGTTTCAGTTGCTGAAGTGCCAACTGCATTCTCATCAGCATTTGAGCCTTGTCCCAGTTTCGCCCCACGGGAAACACAAGATGGCTACAGCCAGGGACAGATAACTCCACCACGCCGAACGGCTTCAGTTGCACGTCATTTCCTTGATCGTGGAGGCAGGACCTACAACCATCAGTGCCCTGCTGCTCATAACGGCCACTTCCGCATCAATGATGTCACCTCATCCGATTTGTCGAGTCTGCCAAACTTTGAGTTAGCTCCCTTGTATCATCTTCCATCATTCCTGGAATCGTCACATGACTCCTCGCTGCCCTGTCACATGACATCGGACATCAGCGGCTTTCACCACCTCTGGAGTGATGGACTAGTTGCAGAACCAGAGAAATCTGTCATGTCACCCTCCGCTGTTGGCCCTTCAGACAGGGCAGATTACCCTGAACATCCTGAAGACCAAATTTCATTCCTTGAACAGCACAGGGGAGATAACTGTTTTGGGGTCAAGTCTCGGCTAAATGGGGATGTTGCGGCAGGTTTCAAGGATTGTCAGGTTGATTTTAAGGATGTGGAGGATGTAGAAAAGGATCTGCAGGGTGTTGAAAAAGATCTGCAGGGTGTTGAAAAAGATCTGCAAGATGTTGAGAAGGACCTTCAGGGTTTTGAAGAGGACCTTCAAGGGTTTGCGAGGGTTACCCAGGCGGCAGTAGGAGAGAGTGACTCTGTACGCCCTTCTGACAGGGGAGGTAACTCTCTTCTGTCCCCTGACTCCTGGATACGGCTGATCGATGAGATCTACAAGCCGATCGTGTGTGAGAGTGACGCAGGGGAGGAGTCTGCACTGTCGGACATTGAGGGCGACAAGAATCAGGACGTGAGTCATCATCATCCATTGTCGGCTTCATCACCTCTGTAAAACAAATAATCAGTTAATTCATGGATTTTTTTTTCAAATCATCCACTATTTGTTAAAGTCAGAAAAAAAGAGAAGGTCTTCGTTTGTATTTTAGTTGGCATCTATCCTTTAAAAAATATTTTTTTACACATTCCATGCACAAGTTTTTTTAAAATTTGAGTAAATAAAATTGGTGGTGGTGTTCTCTTGGCTTGCAGAAGACTCCAGATTTCTTCCGGTGTCCTGACAATCCGGACAAGACTTCAGACAGCGGTGATGCAGATGATGAGTTTGAGTGTGAGTGTGACCACTGTCAGCTGCTCCGCAACCTTGACTGCCCATCTCACTTCCTGTCCGCCATCAACTCCAGCAGAGACACGGGGCGGGAGACTGGCGACGCCTCACACCGACCAGATCCATGGTAAGTGTCATTCACACTTCCTGTCAGTCATCACCTGGAGACTGGCGACGCCTCACACCGACCAGATCCATGGTAAGTGTCACTCACACTTCCTGTCAGTCATCACCTGGAGACTGGAGACTCCTCACACCGACCAGATCCATGGTAAGTGTCACTCACACTTCCTGTCAGTCATCACCTGGAGACTGGAGACTGGAGACTCCTCACACCGACCAGATCCATGGTAAGTGTCACTCACACTTCCTGTCAGTCATCACCTGGAGACTGGAGACACCTCACACCGACCAGATCCATGGTAAGTGTCACTCACACTTCCTGTCAGTCATCACCCGGAGACTGGAGACTGGAGACTCCTCACACCGACCAGATCCATGGTAAGTGTCACTCACACTTCCTGTCAGTCATCACCTGGAGACTGGAGACACCTCACACCGACCAGATCCATGGTAAGTGTCACTCACACTTCCTGTCAGTCATCACCTGGAGACTGGAGACTCCTCACACCGACCAGATCCATGGTAAGTGTCACTCACACTTCCTGTCAGTCATCACCTGGAGACTGGAGACTGGAGACTCCTCACACCGACCAGATCCATGGTAAGTGTCACTCACACTTCCTGTCAGTCATCACCTGGAGACTGGAGACACCTCACACCGACCAGATCCATGGTAAGTGTCACTCACACTTCCTGTCAGTCATCACCTGGAGACTGGAGACACCTCACACCGACCAGATCCATGGTAAGTGTCACTCACACTTCCTGTCAGTCATCACCTGGAGACTGGAGACACCTCACACCGACCAGATCCATGGTAAGTGTCACTCACACTTCTTGTCAGTCATCACCTGGAGACTGGAGACACCTCACACCGACCAGATCCATGGTAAGTGTCACTCACACTTCCTGTCAGTCATCACCTCGAGACTGGAGACACCTCACACCGACCAGATCCATGGTAAGTGTCACTCACACTTCCTGTCAGTCATCACCTGGAGGCTGGAGACTCCTCACACCGACCAGATCCATGGTAAGTGTCACTCACACTTCCTGTCAGTCATCACCTGGAGACTGGAGACACCTCACACCGACCAGATCCATGGTAAGTGTCACTCACACTTCCTGTCAGTCATCACCTGGAGACTGGAGACACCTCACACCGACCAGATCCATGGTAAGTGTCACTCACACTTCCTGTCAGTCATCACCTGGAGACTGGAGACTCCTCACACCGACCAGATCCATGGTAAGTGTCACTCACACTTCCTGTCCGTCATCACCTGGAGACTGGAGACACCTCACACCGACCAGATCCATGGTAAGTGTCACTCACACTTCCTGTCAGTCATCACCTGGAGACTGGAGACTGGAGACTCCTCACACCGACCAGATCCATGGTAAGTGTCACTCACACTTCCTGTCAGTCATCACCTGGAGACTGGAGACTGGAGACACTTCACACTGACCAGATCCATGGTAAGTGTCACTCACACTTCCTGTCCGTCATCACCTGGAGACTGGAGACACCTCACACCAACCAGATCCATGGTAAGTGTCACTCACACTTCCTGTCAGTCATCACCTGGAGACTGGAGACTCCTCACACCGACCAGATCCATGGTAAGTGTCACTCACACTTCCTGTCAGTCATCACCTGGAGACTGGAGACACCTCACACCGACCAGATCCATGGTAAGTGTCACTCACACTTCCTGTCAGTCATCACCTGGAGACTGGAGACTGGAGACACCTCACACTGACCAGATCCATGGTAAGTGTCACTCACACTTCCTGTCCGTCATCCCCTGGAGACTGGAGACACCTCACACCGACCAGATCCATGGTAAGTGTCACTCACACTTCCTGTCAGTCATCACCTGGAGACTGGAGACTCCTCACACCGACCAGATCCATGGTAAGTGTCACTCACACTTCCTGTCAGTCATCACCTGGAGACTGGAGACACCTCACACCGACCAGATCCATGGTAAGTGTCACTCACACTTCCTGACAGTCATCACCTGGAGACTGGAGACACCTCACACCGACCAGATCCATGGTAAGTGTCACTCACACTTCCTGTCAGTCATCACCTGGAGACTGGAGACTCCTCACACCGACCAGATCCATGGTAAGTGTCACTCACACTTCCTGTCAGTCATCACCTGGAGACTGGAGACTGGAGACACCTCACACTGACCAGATCCATGGTAAGTGTCACTCACACTTCCTGTCCGTCATCACCTGGAGACTGGAGACACCTCACACCGACCAGATCCATGGTAAGTCTCACTCACACTTCCTGTCAGTCATCACCTGGAGACTGGAGACTGGAGACTCCTCACACCAACCAGATCCATGGTAAGTGTCACTCACACTTCCTGTCAGTCATCACCTGGAGACTGGAGACTGGAGACTCCTCACACTGACCAGATCCATGGTAAGTGTCACTCACACTTCCTGTCAGTCATCACCTGAAGACTGGAGACACCTCACACCGACCAGATCCATGGTAAGTGTCACTCACACTTCCTGTCAGTCATCACCTGGAGACTGGAGACTCCTCACACCGACCAGATCCATGGTAAGTGTCACTCACACTTCCTGTCAGTCATCACCTGGAGACTGGAGACTCCTCACACCGACCAGATCCATGGTAAGTGTCACTCACACTTCCTGTCAGTCATCACCTGGAGACTGGAGACTGGAGACTCCTCACACCGACCAGATCCATGGTAAGTGTCACTCACACTTCCTGTCAGTCATCACCTGGAGACTGGAGACTCCTCACACCGACCAGATCCATGGTAAGTGTCACTCACACTTCCTGTCAGTCATCACCTGGAGACTGGAGACTGGAGACACCTCACACTGACCAGATCCATGGTAAGTGTCACTCACACTTCCTGTCCGTCATCACCTGGAGACTGGAGACACCTCACACCGACCAGATCCATGGTAAGTCTCACTCACACTTCCTGTCAGTCATCACCTTGAGACTGGAGACTGGAGACACCTCACACTGACCAGATCCATGGTAAGTGTCACTCACACTTCCTGTCAGTCATCACCTGGAGACTGGAGACACCTCACACCGACCAGATCCATGGTAAGTCTCACTCACACTTCCTGTCAGTCATCACCTGGAGACTGGAGACTCCTCACACCGACCAGATCCATGGTAAGTGTCACTCACACTTCCTGTCAGTCATCACCTGGAGACTGGAGACTGGAGACTCCTCACACCGACCAGATCCATGGTAAGTGTCACTCACACTTCCTGTCAGTCATCACCTGGAGACTGGAGACACCTCACACCGACCAGATCCATGGTAAGTGTCACTCACACTTCCTGTCAGTCATCATCTGGAGACTGGAGACTGGAGACTCCTCACACCGACCAGATCCATGGTAAGTGTCACTCACACTTCCTGTCCGTCATCACCTGGAGACTGGAGACACCTCACACCGACCAGATCCATGATAAGTCTCACTCACACTTCCTGTCAGTCATCACCTGGAGACTGGAGACTCCTCACACCGACCAGATCCATGGTAAGTGTCACTCACACTTCCTGTCCGTCATCCCCTGGAGACTGGAGACACCTCACACCGACCAGATCCATGGTAAGTGTCACTCACACTGCCTGTCAGTCATCACCTGGAGACTGGAGACTCCTCACACCGACCAGATCCATGGTAAGTGTCACTCACACTTCCTGTCAGTCATCACCTGGAGACTGGAGACACCTCACACCGACCAGATCCATGGTAAGTGTCACTCACACTTCCTGTCAGTCATCACCTGGAGACTGGAGACTCCTCACACCGACCAGATCCATGGTAAGTGTCACTCACACTTCCTGTCAGTCATCACCTGGAGACTGGAGACTCCTCACACCGACCAGATCCATGGTAAGTGTCACTCACACTTCCTGTCAGTCATCACCTGGAGACTGGAGACTGGAGACACCTCACACTGACCAGATCCATGGTAAGTGTCACTCACACTTCCTGTCCGTCATCACCTGGAGACTGGAGACACCTCACACCGACCAGATCCATGGTAAGTCTCACTCACACTTCCTGTCAGTCATCACCTGGAGACTGGAGACACCTCACACCGACCAGATCCATGGTAAGTGTCACTCACACTTCCTGTCAGTCATCATCTGGAGACTGGAGACTGGAGACTCCTCACACCGACCAGATCCATGGTAAGTGTCACTCACACTTCCTGTCCGTCATCACCTGGAGACTGGAGACACCTCACACCGACCAGATCCATGATAAGTCTCACTCACACTTCCTGTCAGTCATCACCTGGAGACTGGAGACACCTCACACCGACCAGATCCATGGTAAGTGTCACTCACACTTCCTGTCCGTCATCCCCTGGAGACTGGAGACACCTCACACCGACCAGATCCATGGTAAGTGTCACTCACACTGCCTGTCAGTCATCACCTGGAGACTGGAGACTCCTCACACCGACCAGATCCATGGTAAGTGTCACTCACACTTCCTGTCAGTCATCACCTGGAGACTGGAGACACCTCACACCGACCAGATCCATGGTAAGTGTCACTCACACTTCCTGTCAGTCATCACCTGGAGACTGGAGACTGGAGACTCCTCACACCGACCAGATCCATGGTAAGTGTCACTCACACTTCCTGTCAGTCATCACCTGGAGACTGGAGACTGGAGACGCCTCACACCGACCAGATCCATGGTAAGTGTCACTCACACTTCCTGTCCGTCATCCCCTGGAGACTGGAGACACCTCACACCGACCAGATCCATGGTAAGTGTCACTCACACTGCCTGTCAGTCATCACCTGGAGACTGGAGACTCCTCACTCCGACCAGATCCATGGTAAGTGTCACTCACACTTCCTGTCCGTCATCACCTGGAGACTGGAGACGCCTCACACCGACCAGATCCATGGTAAGTGTCACTCACACTTCCTGTCAGTCATCACCTGGAGACTGGAGACT